GACTGACCCTGCGCCACCCTGCTGCAGACTCTTATGAACTCTTGTGGCTTCGCCGTTGCACAGCTTCCTGTTCAGCAAAATTGCAGATTTGCCTCTTGACTGGTCAATAGCACGCATGCAGATGTTGCGTGGTGTGCCGACAGCGTCGAAAAATTGTCACCTTCTCTCGCCCCCACCCATGTGGAACAGATGGTGCGGCTGAGCGGATAAGCCGTAGCTCTGGCAGCCGAACAAACCCAAGTCAGGAGTCTGCAGAATCTTGATGTGCGACATGCCCACTTAACTTGTTGCTTTCCGTACCGAGCTCTTACAGCTGTGCGATGGGAAGTTTCGGAAACACAGGGCCTGCTTTCCCAGGGTCTCTGCCAGAACCTTCCGCGCGGCAGCCGCATCGCCCTGCCAGAGATGCAGCGCCCTCGTCCCGATGGTTCCCCGATTCCTCGCGCTGCCCCCCCCCCACCTTGGGGCTCAGGATGAAGGCTGCGAAGGAGGGTGGCCTTCAGACTCTCGCTCGCACTGTAAAGTTTGAAGTGTCGCCGCTGTAGGACTGCAGAATCTCTGGGTTTGGGGCATGCCGAAGCGCAGGACGCTCTCTACAAAGACCCGCATCGCCTTTATGTGCATCCACGCCTGATTGCGGCTAGCAGCGGCTATAGGAGAATTGGAGCGGCACGCAAACAAACCGAGCGAGGAGGTTGATAGAGTGCATGCACAAGTGGTCGCAAATGCAATGCTATTGCAGAGGTGAAGAGCCAGGTCTCGTCCTCCGGTCCTACGCTGAGGCTCGAGCAACAAAGACGTCGGACCATGAGGCCTGGGCGGGTGACAAGCTCAGATTTCACTAAGTTTACGATTGGCCAGCCTGGTAAAGACCATGGACGAGATCGCGCTGCCTTGTCGCAGAGTGGCTGATTGCCTACAAAATTTGCAGTCGCGAAGACTCCTGCAGGCCTCTTCACCGACTCCTCGACAGACTTTCGCTGCTGCTCCAACTTGTGGTAGCCTGAATAGGGAGACAATAGCATTCAAGCCCATCACCCCTCACCCGGCGTGACAGACGCGTTGAGGGTCCCGGGCCATCCTTGCTGTATTCGAAATCTCGAACCTGCCCATCAAGTTCAGTCAGAAGAACACTGCAACGACTGTGCACACCGCAGGTGTCGGCACATGGAGTCAGCTCTCCAGACTGTTGCGAGTCGCTCTCTCTCTCTGCACCCAAAGTAAGCCATAAGGCCCTGGCCGTAAACCTTTTATCTCTGCACATCTTCTTGAAGCCATCAACTGCACTACGGAACCTCGCACAATGCATGCAACGAGCACACTCGTGCCAATCAGAATTCAGCCCAACTCAGCCCGCTGCATGACGACCCGCCACAAAGTGTTGCCATCCTACGCTCGCAACTGCACAGAGGCCACCGCAGCTCCTCGAGTTTACGGGCACGTACCGCGTCTCCTTGTCTTCGATACCTTTGAACTGTCTAGCGGACTTCGGCCTTGCTGCGCCCGAAAGGCAAACACCAAGTGCCAGCCAGGCTTGCCGACCAACCGAGATCTCTGCACGACGTTTTCCTGCATCTTCTCGTAGACTTTCAAGAAGTCGTCCTGCAACAACACCACTGGGAACGGTGCAGTGAACAGAAGTTATCAATCAAACAAAAGGCGGCTTCATTCAAGCCAATCTCCTCGCCGCCTCGCGGCAGAATGACCGGAACGGTCGTAAGGTGCTCCGTCCTTACTACTACAGCTGCAGGAACAGCTGTCAAACAACGGCCGGACCTGTGGGCGTCGAAAGCGACGCTGACTAGTGACTTGACTAGGCTGGCTGCACGATGAAATCGTCATCCGGACCGCCATCGGCCCTCACCTCTAAGGAAGATCCCTCCAACCGTTCGCTTAAACGTAGACTGAGCTACCAGTAGAAAACCGGCTCAGATCGAGCAAAACGATAACGAGGACTAAGGGAACAAACATCGTGGAAAGTCGGAGTACGTTTTGTGGGCTGTTGAAGGATGCGGAGCGGGCACGATGACATGCAGGCTCATTCGACAGACTCTTCTGTTTTGCACTGCCTGAGCTCTGCTGGCCAGATTCGTTTTGCCTTCGTTAATGTTGTTCACCTTTCATGTCTGCTCACAAGCATCAGAACCGCCAGGAATCGCGGGTCGAATTCCACGGACCTCTGGGAACCTCTGGGAACCGGAACAGGGCGAACCCAACCGTTGTCGTAAAAACCGTACCAGAAGCGAACCGAGGCGTTGCTTTCATGTGTTGGCTGCGTGTGCAATTACAACTACAGATGTAGATCTGGTCAGAAAGTATCGCCCTGCTCCGATTGACTCGACTGTGGGTCTCCTCTTGTTGCTTGCCTGGTGTTCAGCAAGGGCCCTCCATCTTTTTTGGTGCGTTGACTTGCTTGTGAAGACTCGCCTACCACGATGCCCCAGCACAGCAATGGTAGCCATAGTATTCTCATGTCTTCCTGCTCCGCCATACGAGTAAGAAGTGACACCATACCTCTAGCATCACTGCTTTTCTGTCCCATCCCTGGCCTTGTCGGGTGTGAGGACATCGATGAGGTCACGGCCTGGCAAAAAGCTCGTATCAGCAAGCTACAGGGTAGCATCCAGGGCAGCGCGGATCCTGCAAGACTGGCGGCATCCTTCTTTGAAAGGCTGCCTGAATGGTCGGATGGCACAGCGCCAACGCTGGTGCTCAGTGCGGACTCGGCTTGGGTCGCTGCCCATCTGCGTCTTGAAATCATTGAACTGCGCAGTCTTATTTCGGGCTTCCTCGTCAATGTGGTTTACCACCGACCTGAGCTCGTCAGCAATTATCGTGCGAGTCGTGCGTGAGGCACGAGGGAGAGCAGTCCGAGGGCTCCGGCATTGTCCAGGTGAGGGTATCTGAGATCGATCGGCTCTTGGGAAACTTCGCTTCATCCCATGACCAGGTCCTGAAACGGCATCAGGCTGCAAGAAGTAGAAACAGACGACCCAAGCTGGGGCAGCGTGCTGCAGATAGTCCAGGACGGGCATCTCCTGATTCCAGGTCTTTGCAAATTCGGCCAAATCCTTCCGCGCTTGCAGGCGTTGGCCTTCCGCTGCGACTTCACCTTGAAGGTGGCCTTAGCATCCAGCTCCACGTACCTTAGGCACGAAAGCAAAGCGAAATACCGGACCAAATCTTTCGGAGGGGGTGCGAGCGGCTGTGTGACGGTCCGCTTAACCCTTAGCCCTTCCAAGGTGGTTGAGGCACGTGGAGCAAAAAGCCACCGAAGAGATGAAAGCCTCGACTTCGCCTTGGTTCGACTGCAGCCACAGGCACTGGCGCTCCAGGCGGTGGAGGATGGAATCCACCTGACCGTCGGCCTTTGCCAGGTCGTCCTCTCTTTTGCAGGGGGAAGCCACAAATGCAGGAGGGACGGGGAGGGAGACTGAAATAGGACAGGAAATGCGCAAGTACAGTTATCAGGTGTAAGAAAGCAACCCGCGAGAGACGGGTCCGTGAGGCGGATCAGGTTGTCGAAGGATCCAAAGAGGAGGGAGCGCTCGCCATCTGGCACATCGAACTTCGAGGGCTCCTAAGGAAGCAAGAAGAAAGAGAGCTCGTCCTATCATCACGAGGTCTCATGATGCCGACCTGGATGCTGGCAGGCGCCCCTCGCAGAACTGGAGACTGCTTCAACCTGGGCTGACACTGCCGTTCCCGACATCCTCGAAAGGCGGATCTGGGGCCAAGAGGCTGTGCCAAGAGCGCATCCTTCTTGGCCGGCGACTCCCTCACACGGTAGGGCTCTACTGGCTCTTCTGGCTTTGGTGCAGTCTCTTGAGCTCTGCCATCTGAGGCTGGGGCTGGCCCTTGGCGCAGCCTACAGCGACTATCCAAAACTCTTGGCCGACGAGGCTCATGGAGATGACCCTGACACAGGAAACGGCTGAGGCTGAGGTGGCCCATGATGTGGCAGTCGCAAGCGGGCCTCCACCGTCTGACCCAAACCAGGATCGACCCAAAACGCTTCGGCACGCAATCGAGTCAGGTCGTTTGGCTCCATGGCTCAGGCACTGCACTCTGGCAACCGGTGAGCAGCGCGTGAGGCCGACATTTACGACAATGCCAAAGCTTGTCCAAGCGAGAGCTACGAGTACTCCCTACCCATAGGCCCTAAAGTAGTTGCTTTTTGGGGCTCATATATAAAATCCTATAAGGTCACCCCAAAAAGGAACTACTATGGGGCCTATGGGTACACTCTGCCGACACTGGTGGCCCGCAGCGCTCTGCACTCGGATGAGCCTACGGGTCCCGAGGCCAAGGCCCTGGAGCTGCTAAAGCTTACTCTGCGGCTCGGCAAAAGTGATGCAACACCTTCGAAACGGGACTTGAGATTTTGATTTTGCCAGGAGACATGAGTGATCAGAGTTTTTTTGCCAGAATGGCTAAGATCCAGACTTACCGATGACCTCGCCAGGTTACAAGAGAGTGCGCTCGCACTCTCGACGGGTGCCTGGCCTTGCGTTCCTCCATGAGCTTGAAAGCTTCCCTGACTCCGTGACTGCAAGGCTCAATACAAGGGTAAAGGACCCAGCATGGGCCTGAAACGATCGAGCGGGAACTCGGAGCCCACATAGGGCTTCAGCTTTCCCTCACTGGCCTTGCGTTCTCGTGGTCTGGTGCAGAACTTCAACAAATCCTCAGTGGAGACACTGAGAGGCACGCCAGTCGGAGGAGCTCCAACATTGTTTCCCTTGCCAACGCTGGCTCCAAACCTCACGCTCACGACATGCACACCTGAGCAGAAGTGGCAGGTGACAGCAGGAGCCTGTTTTCCTGTGCGACTGTCACGGCTCGCGCCGGCTCGCGAATCGCCGGGCGTATCACCGGTCATCCGGCGTGGCCGCCGCATACATGCCCTTCCACGCATCTCCCTGTCTCCATCACACCGGCCCCAGCCGGTCTCCGACGTCGGGTCGGGCCGCTTCTCCAGCAGGAAGTGCGGCTTCGAAGGGCACCCCCAAGACGAGCGAGGTGGAGTTCGAGTTCATGCACCCTGCAAGCTGTGAGGTCGGTGCGAAGTCAGGATCTCCTAGGACACGTCCGGGTCACCTTTGCCCACGCCCTGCACTCCGCACCCACTGCGTCGCCTGGAGGCGGACCTGCATCGGATCAAGGAAGCGAACGACAATGGGCATGACTTGGCACGAAAACGGCTGCTCTTGTGCTGCTTCGACAAATTAAGCACTTGAAAGAAGCAAGTCAGCTCAAGCAAAAGACTCCTTTGCCAAGTCAGGCGCAGCCTCTGCCGCACGGGGGCACTCCTCCAAGCACAGGGGCTCAGAAGTCCTTGGGAGGAGGTGCCGCTTCCGAGAATACTTCCCGTACTCTCTACATCTCGCTACCTGAGCGCCGGGCAGTGGGCAGAGGCCGCCAGTGCTTTGCAAGGCCTTCGCCAGGTTCGTCCTCCGGCTGTTGCCATTTCACATGAGTCTGTTAGAGCGCTTGAAAGAAAGAGACGGCGCGCATTCGCGGCGATCTCTTTTTTAGGCGCGCATCTCTATTTTTCAGTTAAGTTGTTCAAGTGTCTGCTCTCGGCCTCTCGAAGACGTGGCCGGCGGGGGAGCGCACCTCGGCTCGGCTCCGCCAGCTCTCGCAAGTGCTCCGCTCCAAGCGCTTAAAGCTACTACGGCTCACGGCTGCCGTCCCAGCTTCTGGATCCACCAGCAGCTTTCCGTCAAGCCGACCTCAGCTCGGACTCCAACGATGGGAGCATCTCTGTAGCTGCAGCAGTCTCCCGCCGAGGGGCAACAGAGCTCGGCGGGGGCATCTCGGAGCCGCTCCCTGCGGCCCAAGAAATTTTCAGAAGGATAAGGGGAAAGCTGCGACGAGGCACAAAGGAACGTTTGCACTGAGGCCGCCTGAGGCTCGGATTCCCCGAGGGCTTTGCGATCGAAGCTTTGTTGCTCGCCGGCGGCGTGGGTGCTGCGGGCACCGCGGGCACCGGCTGCACCGAGGGTGGCGGCGGAGGCGGCGGCGCCGGGATGTCAGAGGTCGCAGCCGCACTGGCACCGACGCAGGAGTACCAGCGCTCCCATGTCTCCGGCCGTCGCACGGGAGCGCGAGACCTGAGATCTTATAGGACCTGCCTGGCTGCTATATATCTTTGCCTCTTCTGTTTGAACACGTTTGTCGCAGGATTTCTCGATCTCAGACCGCTGGCCTGGCCAAGTGCTGGGTGACTTGGGCGCGCTCCCTGTCAGCAAGGCGCGAGAGCACCGAACGCAGCTCCCGGGCTCCTCAGGGGTGTACATATCCAACATGCAACTTCCTTCAATGACTCAACATGCCCAAGACTCGATTGAAAAAGTTCCTTTAGCTTCCCTTTGCAAAGTCCGTTTTTGTGGCAGTGCCTACACGTTTGTCTCGTTGGAGTACACGTCCAGGCTGTACATGAGGATTCACTCACACTCGGTGGTGTCCTCGCGGTCCTCATGCCCACTGGGGTGAACAGGCTCTGCGTTGCCAAAGACGCTCGTTGTGAACGTTTTCTCGCGGATTTATCTCAGGAAAGTTTCTTTCGTCATGCTCGCCGACTCTTCCAGCAAGGCCTGAAGTAGAGGAAGAGCTTCCTCATGATAAATTTCCGTCGATTTAGTATGCTCTGACTGAAAGATCAACGTAGGTCGGCAGCGATGCATGAGCACAGTTGGATGCGGAAGCCAGCGCCATGAACTGGAGCACATGGTTCTCTGTGCATGTACTCAAGCTCGTGGACTGCAACGGCGTGGCTTACTTCAAACTCGGCAGGTCCCGGTCAAATTGCCTCTTTCGAAAGAGGCAATTTGACCGGGACCTGCCGAGTTTGAAGTAAGCCACGCAGTTGCAGTCCACGAGCTTGAGCACATGCACAGAGAACCATGTGCTCCAGTTCATGGCACTGGCTTAGGCATCCGACTGTAACATGGAGAGTGTGAACATACCGTTGGGGTGTAAGAGGCGTGTGCAGCATGGTCAGTCGCTGCTCTAGCTTCTTCAACTTCTCGGCCAAAGTCGACCTTGACCCGCACTTGTTCCCTGGCATCCAGACCCACTGCGGTGTGGTAAACTTGCTGCTCGGGGTTCATAGCTCTCCACTGGGAAACGCCGGGCCTCTCCAGTCGGAAGGCACAGCCCTCCGGCCCGGAAAGGCCCCGCCTCTCCAGCAGAAAGGCGGGGTCCGACCCCGCCTTTCTGTTGGAGAGGCTTTGCTTTTCCACTGGATGCTTGTTGTGGGGGTAATAGCCTCGACCCTTACCATACACCCCACACCCAAAACCTCCAAACCAAAAGAAATCCCCCACTAACTGCATGGACTGTACCGGCCCTGCTGGAGCTTCTGGTCGTATGTACTTGGTTCCAATGTCCACTCCATTCCAGCCAGTGTCTGCTGATCATCTTGTGATTCTGGTGCAGCTCCAATGCCTTGCATGACCTCGGTGCGGTCCTCCAGGGAGAGCTGCTTCTCAAAGAAGGGTCCAGATGCTGTCAAAAGCTTGTTAGAGACAATCTTATCGACTGCGTTCCCCAGAAGCCATATGATGCAGGAGAGTTGTGTTGGATGGCGGTGTTCTGCTTACTCTCCGATCGTGCCTTTGATACTGCTGAAGCGTCTCCAGCAGGCCCTGTGCTGCCTTTGCATCGCTCTCGCCCTTAGTCGCTGCTTGAATCGCCACTGTAGCCAACTCATTCACCACCTGGCTCTCCCTTGGAATTCCCGCAATCCTTGAGAGCTGCCAGAGTTGTTCATGTTTGGGAAATCTAGTGAGAAATCGAAGCAGGACGACATACTTGAACCAAAATGGGCTTTGGGCTTTGGCTATCCGCGATACTCCCTGAACCATGAGGTGTCTGGCTACAGTTTAGCTCAGAGCCATGGTCCAAAACCTGCACGACTGATCCCACGGCCTGGGCACGGTGGCGCAGGCCCACCTCTGCCAGGCTGCAAAAAAAAGGCAAAGCAGGCCCGGGCTCCTTCATGAGACTCCTCCGGCTCCAGGCCCGCTCCCGCAGCGAAGGCCACCCAGATGGCCGTCCAAGAAGGGGACGACCGGTTAGCGCGAGAAGGGGACGAAGAGGCGGAGAGCCAGGACGCCAGCGCTTCCGAGGCTTCCAAGGCCGGCGGAGGCAGCAACGCGGAGAGCAGCGCCATCTCGGAAAGCCAGCGAAGCTCCAAGTCCTGGCGGCAAAGACTCGGACCGCTCAACGTCTGAACGTCTCAACTTGTCAAAGAGGCGTGGTGAAGCTGTGAAGGCTGCGAAGGCTCAGGGAACTGATACAGTCGGTAGTATGGCAGGATGGGGACTCCGGCCTCTGGCGCCAGGCCGAAGACCAAGGCCCAAAGACTCCTGTCGTAGCCAGCTGCCTCCGCCACGAAGGCGTCGATGACTCCGGCGGCATCCGCCTGATTGCTGATGCCAGTGTCCGTGTTCACCTCTGCGATGACATCCGCCCAGGCACCGGCTTGGCTTTGAACCGGCTTGGCAAGTGCTGCAACAAACGCCACGAGCGCCTTTACGCACTCGGTTTTCTGTGAAGACCTTGGCCGAGCGTGCAGACAACAAATCCGAACCAGCAAACCAGACTATAAAACGCAGGGCCGGGGTTTTGTGGTTGCGGGAGCCGTGCTTTTGTGGTCGCCAAGGTGCACCTCTGCGTGGTCCAGCAACGGCTTCAGCAGCGACGAGTCGCAGGCAGCCAGTGCCAAACGACTTCGGTGCAGATCCAGACCGACGAGCCGCTCTTGCATGGAAAAGCATCCGATCACACCCAAGTCCTTACATGACCACCACGCAGACCGTCACGCAGACCACTCACAAGAGCCGCCGCCGAGGTGCGTCGGCGATGACATCGGCCTGCTGAACTGCAGCTCGTTGCTTCTGATGTCATTTTGGACAAAGAGGAGACCTCGAGTTTCTCTGGGCCTCCAGTTCGCCACCGAAGGCGATGTCTGGGGACGGCAGACCTGCACCCAAACAGGTTTGTCATGAGCCAGTCCCTTCGTGTCCCGGGGACGTCGACGCTCTGGGGGCAGGGGCCGCAAAGCGCCAGCAGCACCGCGTTCTTTAGCTCCGGGAGCTCGTGGGGGAGGTCCTCCAAACAAAAACGCAACAAGGAGACCGGGAGACCACGGAGGACGAAAGACTCTTACGTGGGCTCACGCTCTTTCGGGTTCCTCGGAGCTCTCGGAGCTGGAACTGAGCACGCCCTTGCTGAGGACCAGGGCCCACTGGGGGTCCCCGTTGGCCCACTCCCACAAGGAAGCGGGCTCCAGGCGACCGCCCTCGAAGCGGGACCTCGGACTCACCGTCTAATTTTCATCTTGCTCTTATCTTCGGTGACTCTTCCAGCCCAGCGGCAGGATAGTGAGGATCCAAACACAGATCAGCTGAAAGGAGCTCTGCAGCTGTCTCTCTTCCTCACTGCTTGCTTCAGCCTCGAATCGGCAGAGGGCCCCGTAGACCTCGCTGACAGCAGGTTAAGGACATACCTGGCAAACAATATGCCGCTGCCTGACCTGCATGGAGATCATGTCAAAGTCCGCGGCCACCGGTTCAAGATACCTCTCGCAGGGGGGAAAGCTGGCTTGCTAGCTTCTGTCAGACTCCCAATCTTTCGAGGTGCGGGGCGATCTGGGCACGCTTCGCGTAGCCTTGGTCGCACGCGCACGGGAGGCAACAAGTTCAACCAGGACGGCGTGGATCCTACGAGTCCCTCGCGGTGGCTCGGGATGCTCATGTCGTGGCTGCCTTAACGGGGACGCCCAAAAAATCAATCCAAACTATATAACTATACATAGTTCAATATACCTCCGGAGCAAGCAGCCGAGGCGCCCAGTGACAGCAGCCCCGCCACCGCGGCGAGGCCTCTGAGAGAAAAGGCCCCTCAGAGAAACATCGCTTGGACGCTGACATCGCCGGGGCCCGGTCTCATGGCAATGGCCCTGGCCAGCTCAACACTGAAGCCCCACCTCAGGACACATATAGGGCCTAACATAGGGCCCAGGGGCCTTCATCAGAATAGGGTTTGGAGGTCCATTAAACTATAAATATAAGAAGGACCCCTATAGTGGGCCCCTTGATTCGAGCCAGCTGAGAGATTTCCGTGCGGAGACCGGGCAGCCGGCACGACCAGGCTCTGGTCAAAGCACTCCGTCATGTGCGAAGCCAACTCCAGGTCTACCGCGTTGGTCAACCCTGCCAGGGTTTAGGGGTTTAGAGTTTAGGGTTTATAGGAGTTTAGGAGACTTCGAGAGATCGGAGTCGCGTTGGAAAGCGCGCAGCCGAAAGCGATCAGGGCCGCCTATGCAGTCCAGGGCCAGTTGGCACACCAGCGCGATGGCCTGCCATGCAGGTGCCAACCTCTTCTGCCTTTTCCAGCCAGACCGGGCAGCAAAGACTTTCGTGTTGCAGATTTCGGTGTGGCCTGTGGCACCGTGACGGCATCCGTTCCTTCAAGCAGATCCAGAGTTTCCCGGACCTGACAGACATCGCTCATCGCTCACTATAGCTACTTGCACTGCGTGCTGCGTCACCGCGGCCCGGCCTGGCGCTCAAAGGACTGAGCACGATCGGCGCCTAGACAGGGCTAAAAAAGCCCTGACTTGCGCTTGAGATCCAGCCGCACTGAGGCTGGCACCGACGCAATTCACCAGCCGCAAGCTGCCGGCACAGGAGGCGACATGCTGCACGGCTCCGATGATCTCCCCGTATTCCATGGCTCAGATGGCCCCATTGCCTAGTGGCCTCCGAAAATGGTGGGCCGGGAAAGGCAGCTGTCCACATTGGAAGGTTTTGAAGTCGAACTCAGCATCACAAGCTTTCGCTGCCAGCTATGACATTATGACCTCTAATGCAGGAAAGAAATTACACAAAGCTCCAAAAAGCCTGAAAGGCTGCCAATCGGCTGTGGTAAGTTGCAGAAGCAAAGAACAGCGATCAGTAGTAGCAAGAGGTGGCAATAGCGGACCAGCGCCACAAACCTTAACCTGAAACCACCCCCCCCCGCACCCACCTCGCCGCCCTCTGTTGTCTGCATGGCCCTCTCAGCTCGAGGCCCAGTTGGGCGCCAGATCGGACGCCCACCAGGTCAAAGCCCTTGATCAGAGCCTTCAAGCGCTTTTTCGCTTCTCAATGCTTTGGCCTATGAGGCGCTTAAGGGCGATGTCCCCCCCCGCTTTCAGCGCCGTGCCATGTTGATTCCGAACTTTGGGATGGTCCCAGACCTGGGCGGCGCGGCGCAGGGCAGCGCAGGGCTTGCTTCTGCGCCGTCCTCCGGGGCCGCTCTCTCTCGGGGCTCCCGGCGCGAAGCCGACGACGAGCAGCCGCGCGTAGCCCTTCGGTGTCACACACCTCCTCAACAGGCCACAAGAGACTGTTAACCCTTTTGGATAACACAGCTGCAATCGCCCCCCGAATTGAGCTTTATAACGCCTCGTTGAGGCGCTGGCACACACTGGTCAAAGATCTCACCTCCGACCGGGTCGTAGATCACCTGGCAGAAGCAGAAGGAACGCTTACGCAGGAAGGGCTTATAATCAGATTCTTATAGAGAGGTCAAGCACTGAGGAGGAGGCATCACAAAACTCGCCTTTGGTTATCTCTCCAACCTTTGTGCAACATGCCCCTTCTACATCGTGCTCAGAGGCTCGGAACGAGCTCTTCATCACAGTGAGGTCGCAGCTGCGTCTTTCAATTTCTGCTTGCTGTAATTCACCACATAGTCTGCTCCCAACTGCACACAGAGCACAGGTCTCAGCTGGAATGCCGATGGCAGCTGCTCTGACGGCTGAGCCACCTTCTTGCACATTTCCAGCTTGTCGTCGGAGCTCGCTGCCGCAATGACCTTCGTCCATTGAAGCTCTTGCTTGGGAATAAGACTAGAGTCTCGAGCCGGCAGTCGCATCAAAACTCAACCAAACTGCTCCGCGTGAGCAACCTCGGCAGGCCACGTTGAGCGGTTTCTTTGTCCGCGGCCCGCGGCTGCTCCCGCACATCTCAGTCGCAGCTGGATGCCTTCTTTGCGCGTCTCTGCGACTTCGAAGTCCCCTAGACCCTAGACTCCAAGACAGCACACCGCCGCCCCGGCCGGTCCGGAGCCGACCTGGTCGGAGTGGTCGGAGGCCCGAAACCGGGGCCGGAGGTGTCGAAACGGGGCCGCGCTCGCGAGCTTCAGGAGGAACCTCCGTGAAGTCTCAGTCGGCGGTGGCGTCGCGATCACTGGAAGTTCACCACGACACTCCGCATTTCGCCGTTCAGGAACCACTCGGAGAGCGCCGGATCATCGCACTTCAGAACGGCATTGAAGAGGCTGAAGAGCCAGGCCTGGGGGTCTCAGGCTGCTCTTCGCCCTTGCCTCCTCCCTTCAGTTCCTCCCTACTATGATGGGATTTTCGGGGGCCATTCCTATGCAAACGCTGCTTTCGCCTCGAGCCGTTGGCTTCGGCCCTGGGGGGTGTGCTTTGTGCATTTGTTCAGAGCTTTGGAGGCCTGGCTAACTCGGCAAGGCGCTGAGTGAGTGGAGACCACGATCTCCGTCTCAGAACGATTGCGAATCCAGAGCATGAAGTCGTAGGCCCGCTCGGCGACTTCCAAGTCACTCTCCATGTGCAAAGTCGAAAGCAGGGGATCCTGGCTCGAACGAAGGAACCGAAAATTGACAAAACAATTGAGGAACTACCCCCCACCCCCCTCTGCTGGAAGGCCTCCTCTGGTATCAACGAGAAATCCACGTTGGGAAAGTCCTGCTTAGCATCGCTCGCCGATCGCCGGTAGTCGCAAGAGTTGCCGTGGCTCTTCTCCTTGCCTCAAGACTGGGGCGCAGACTCAGCTTACGAGCTCTCGCGTGGACCCCGCTTTAATTAAGTGCCAGGTCACACGACTCGTGCGCAATGAAGGGGATGTGGCCAATGCAGTGGGCGAAAGCGATGTTCGAGGTCATCAAGGCGCGGGACATCGGTGAGACGACCACCAGCTCGGCCTTCGTCTCCCGCGCCCGGCTCTGCAGCACCTTCGCCTGCAGCCTGCCAGGAGCAGGAGCTCGCCGGCTAGGCCCCTAGGACAAGCGAAGGATTACCCGCTGCTTCCCTCCCGGCCTTCCGATCTCCGTCAGTGGAGGGTCGAAGACCTGAAAGACAAAAAAACGCCAGAAGGGCAAGCGGGTCACGAGGCGACTCTGAGCCCGCCTCCGGGATGTTGTAGGGCTTCGCCTTCACCTTCGCTCTCCGGGCGCTCACGCTTCACTCGGCACTGCTCTCTCTCGCTCTCTCCGGCCCTTCTGGATTGGACGATGGGCATGGTAGACTTTGCAGAAGTCATTCAAGGAGTTGTGGAAGCCCTGGCCGTGGCGGATGAAGTGCAGAAGCCTCACTTCAGGAGCTCGGACCCCGATTCGACAGCCCAGCCCCGAGCGGGAGCAGGAACGAAGAAAGCTTCGGCCGGCGCTTTCCGGAGGTCGGCGCTTTCCCGCTGAGATCCGCTCCTCTGCAATGCATCTGCACCGGCCAGGCCTAGCAGAGAGGGAGAGGGAACTTGGAGGCGGTGTGGGTGCTGTCTGGTGCTGTCCGGCCTTCCCCAAGACCTTGGCTGCACGCAATCGCTCGCGGTTCTTGGCACCATCTTGCAAGGCCGTCTCCTGACACCGCAGGAGCGCAGGGAGTGGCCTCTTTCCACGGTACCGGTAGGGTGAGGTGACAGCCTTTTTCTCGACCCGCCTTGGAGGTCTCCGTCCACAAGCTCTTCTGCAGCGCAGCCAAGCCCTGGAACTCTGGATAGTCCTCTGAGAACACGTAGATTAGATTCATGCAAATGGGGCACCGCCCAAGCTTCCAAAAAGAGCTCTCCTGCGGCCGAGCGGGCCTCGCCGTCTTCTGGAGGCTGGCAAGAGCCCAGCCGACGACAGCACCGATCAACGCCCCGGCCACGGAGGACAACATGGCCCAGGTGTGCTCTACAGAGTGCGTTCTCGTGTGCAGGACTTCACGTCTCTGGAAGCTTGGACACGTGGTCAGGTCATGTGCATCAGACATCCATAAGGTGTCTCCGGGATCAGGCTTGACGAAAGACCGCAGGTAAAGTATGCAGAGATGTTACGTTCCTATGTAGGTCCTACAGTAGACTCCTCACTGCCGCAGTCGGGCCGGGCCGCCCCGCTTTCGCGCCGACGGCTTTGCCCAACTCCACGGCCATGGAGCCCATGCCGCCCCCGGCCCCGGTGACCTCAAGAGCAAAGCCGGGCAGGCCGTCTTGGGAGCAGACTTTGCGCTGTTGCTGAGCTTTACGGCCAGCAGCCACTCTCCGGCTTTCAGCCGCCCTCGGGTGACGAGGCCATGGTAGCCTCGTCGTGGCTGCTCTTGCTTCTTCTGGCCCTTCTTCCTCTTCGCAGCCCGGACTCCCTCGTTGTGGAGGACAGGGGAGCGGCCTACTTTTGGTTCGGCAATTGGAGAAGCACAAAGCAGGAATGCCAACAGTGCAGCAAGAGTGCAAGAGCATCCACTACAGACAACAGGCAAGCGCAACCCAATCACCAAAGCCCAAGAGTGCGAACACCACGCAGCATCACCTCTCTCCTTATGGCCCGGGCCTGTCATGTAGCCCATGTGAAAGCTCGCCTCGGAAGCTCCGACATAGAGAACCCCTATATATATATATATACATATATATATACATATATATATATATATATATATATTCACTAGCTGCCGCGGGCGGGGCCCCTTGGCTGAAGGAGAGCGTGTCCGGCATCTTGATGCACATCTCAGAGGCAGCGGCACCGGAGATGGACTGCGCTGAGCGTAGAGCTCCGTCATTTTCCGCTTCGGGCCTGTGCCGGCAGCACGAGCTCTTCTGCAGCACAGCCTCCCATGGTGGCCTTGGCAGGAATTCTCTCGCCAGATGCACACATGAAGACCTGAAGAGTGCAAAGTCACAGTAAGAGCTCGGCATAGAAGACCTTGTCGCCCACAGACAAGCCACTGACCTCGCCATCCCAAAGAATGCGAGGAGATGTGCCGGGACAAGCCGAAGGAGAGGCCTTGGACCCGGTCTCTGCCACAACGCCCGCGCCTGTGCGTGCAGCCGGCACTGCCACGAGCAGAGCCCTTCCCGAGCCCAGCCCGCCTTCAGTGCACCTGCAGGCGCAGGGGTTCGGCAAAACCCGAAGAGCCCTCAAAGAGACTCCAGGCGTCCCGCAGTACGAAGGGCAACTTGGGCTTGTATTGGTACCTGCGAAAATGGCAATACGGCGTCTTTCCTCCTCGAGCCGAGTGCAAGCCTACAGTGTGCACTTGTTCTGCATCATCAGCAGCTCGGGAAAGTTTAGGGAAGCCGCTCTGGCAGAAATGCGGACCTGAGTCGGGGACAGCCATTCCAAAGCTGGAAAGCGAGGAGAAATGACGACCTGGCCTCCTGATCGCCCAACTGCGCTTTGCGAGGAAGCTCGCGCAGAACCGTTGCCTGCATTCAGAACAGGCGTCATGCTTTCATTCGCATGAACCGGCCCGCGCCTCAATACCTTCGGACGCAGACGCGGAGATCTTCTCGCACATGACAGCCCTGACAATTAAGGAGCATCTTGTCATGCGCAGAAGGCACGGGCACACTTTCAAAACAAAACTCTTCTCGTCACGAGCCTGTAAGTTCCTGTCGCCATGTCTTCGGGCAGAACGGGCTTAAACCACAAATTCTACTCAAGTGTCTAACAGGCGACAACGTGTAACGTGTGATGACTGAGTCTATACTTCTTGGCGCGCTGGATGCCACTGACTGACTTGCTGCTCTGGGTCAACGCAGCTATCGGAGAAGCCGGCTAGCCGCTGGGCCCTCTAGGCCAGAACAGCGAGCAGTTCAGGAATTGATGAGCGCAAGTTAGCATCAATCACGACAGAGTGCCAAGCGTGGTGATCCTTTTCGGCGCCTTTCGAAAGAGTCTCCGCTTCTACTCCGTGGCCGCTGAGCATGCGCAGTTTGACCCAACCTGACTGGAATGTCGAGGCCGTTAGTGCGAGAGGTTCCGTTTCTGCGTTCTCTATATGCGCTTGTTTCTGAAACCATTCCTGCCTTGATCTTCAGGAGCGCTTTTCTGGCCAGCACTTTTGCGCCCTGCAGCCTTAGCCCGACAAGCGTGCTTGCTCAAGGGAAAGTCAAACAGCGCCGGTTGAGATAAGGTTCGGAATTGAGGTCTGGATGGCAGCGTCAGTGTTTGACCTTAGCCGGACAAGCGTGCTTGCGCAAAGGAGAATCACGGAGCACCGATTGAATATATATGATTGAGTCGAGATTCGGCATGTATGTCTGGACGGCAGCATCGGTCTTCGAGCTTTGCCCAACAAGCGTGCCTGCACAATATCAACACATAAATGTAGAGCACGGATTCATGTTCGTGCACCAGCTTCACCTGGCACACCATACAGCAAGAAGCTGCACCCTCTTTGGCAAGTTGCATCCAAGACAGGATGCCTAGACACATTTGGGAAGGCTCGAAGAACGGTGGAAAAGCTACATGTGCATGTTGCGAATCAGCTCCCGAAGCCATACTCGAACGTATTGTCAGACTGCCTGTACAAGGGCTGAGCATTTGGACTGATCCTTCCAGTTTTGTTTTCGCACACCCAAAATCACACCCAACTTTCCCAGCCCACCTTTTCCCAGCTTGCTTCTCCACGTGCGAGGCACCACTCAAGCCTTATAATCGTTGGATTATCAAAGATCGCCGCTGCAACGTGCAGCTTTTTAACTAATGTGCTCATAGGGTCGTGTCGTGACAAGTCTTTATTTAGGGCTTCCAGCAAACGAACCCTAAAGCTCAAAACTTAAAGGGACCCAACGCCTAGAACTAATCAGTTTTTCTTTTTTGTACGGACACTGGACAACTGTACAAGCGCAGTCGCAGTCAATTGGGTCAAGTCAGAAAACTATCAATTCCAGGGCACTTTTGAGCCAAAGTGTTTTTTTTCTCAAGGCACACGCCTTGCCGTTGTCTCGGCACAAGAAAAGCAGCACCACAGCAAACCAAGCAATCATGAGCATTACACTATTCAAAGTAGCTCAAACCGCCAGGCGACGAGGTGACGCAAGACATCGCGCAAATTACTAATGTGCTTTGCATCGTGTTGCGCGATTTGCTGGATGTTCTGCTGCGCGGTGGCGGCAGCCGCTGCTTAAGTTGCAACGCCGAGTTGCGCGAGTGAAAGGCTTGAAGGGTTAGTGTGTACAGTTCTGCATGAGGGAAGGTGCCAGCTTGCATGGGTCAGACAGCGCACACAAGCCAGATGAAGAAACTGAGAGTGAGAACAACATAAAATCAACAAGAATGGACCAGCGCAGTGAAATCCCTGCGCTGTCTCGCGCGGGTGCACGGGGGAGGGCATTGTCGACTGGACGGTTGTTCTGATTTTTCGGGCTCGATGCTCTGAAAGGGCTCTGAAGGATGCTGCTCACATCATGGACCGGCAGGAAGAAGTTACGTCTGCAAGAACAAGCCTTGGCAAACACGTCACTTCAACTGTCGTCACTTGGGGCCAAGCGCCGCCGACACTTTTTTTTTCTGCCACCGTGCTGCCTGAAGAGCCTCAGCACAATCTGGACAGCACTATCTTGCGGCTGCACGAGGATGATCGATCGCCTTGTGCCCACTGAGTTTCAGCAGCGGTTTCGCGCCGACAGCCGGCCCCGTCTCACATCGCCTCGAGCATTGAAGACAGGGGCCGAGAGCTTCGTTCCAGGCAACGCAGAGAGGCCCAGAGTTTCGGGCACTCTCGGGGATGTCAGCTTGTTGAGGACTGCGAAGCGTCATGCTTCTCACGATCAAGAACAACTGCTGCAAATCCCTCTCAGCTCAGGGGATGAAACGGATGCATAACATGACGAAGCTATCGTGGGGAGCAACATGCCCAACGCAAGCAAGGGAAACTCAGCTCGATCCGCTTGGGGCCCGGCTGCTGGAGCTTATGTTCCAGCTTTGCGACGACGGACACCAGGGAATGCTCCAAGCAAGCCATCGCTCCGTTGGCTGATGGCGCTTTGCAGCTGTTGGGATTGCCACTGGGTCTAAAAATCTTGCCCTTGGAGTTTACTCCAACTGACGCAGCATGCCGGGTCTGCAATCATACGGCTGCCAGACGATGGGCAGCCTGTCTGCAACGCAATACCTGCGCAACTTGTCTCAGCTTTGCAAAACTTTGAACTGGTTTAAGGTTTAAGGTTGGGGCCCATATGCGAACGCCCTTGTGAGGATGATTCATGATAAAGGCTGCAAGCGCACAGTTCTGGCGTGAAGCACCTTGCGTCTCTACACTTGAAATACGGGCGGCTCCAGCACGGCGAGCAACAATCATAACAGAACTGATTAACCCAGCAAGTCACCTCTACACCCCCCTGCATCTACAATAAAGGTACATGGACCCTTGGGCCCTTGGGTAGACGAACGCCTCCGTCAAGCCCAACACTTGTAGAAAGTATCATGCTGCGACGCTGCAACTTCCCAACATGCCTTGACCGTACCCCCATTCTCCACTCAGGAAACAACGCTATGCTCTGCAGGGGGACTGTAAACATAAACACGAGGGAGGGGACCTGAACCAACATCGCCTCGTTTCGGATGTGCACTGGCTGCAAACTCCGACCCCCCAAGCTGCCTGAGCTCACACTGCTTTGGGAGGCAAATGTAGGTGGATCCTGGCCAGGCCTCACCCACCACGCGCTTGGAACGGCACTCACTGCACGGCGTGGATGGCAACCTGAAAACTGTTTCAACACTTGGCGGATGATGTCGAAGCAACATAATTGATGGAGTGTTCCCGCGCCGTCCTCAGCGTGGCTGCCATGTTGCCAGGTGAAGGGTATCCTGGCTGAGCATATGTAAAATTCAAATGATCCACAAGCACTTACAGCGCAAGTGGTCCAAATGCGCGCCTCGTCCCACTGCTTGGTAGCCCGAGCCTGCAGAAGCCAATTCTCAAAAGGGTCACGCCGGAAACAAGCACGACTGCTTCAACAGCTCAGTATGCGGCCAAAGGCCGTGTATGCATTGGACGCCTTCGCCTGCAACATTTGTCGAAGCGCAAGCACACAGCTCTGTGGCCCAGCTGGTCCAACCTTGGGTTGTAGGCCTCGAAAGCATCGCTCACGGTCACCCAGCCTTGTTCTTCTTGCTCTTATGATTATTGTGTCTGTTTTTGTGGTTGTGCTGGGGTTCCCAGGATTTCCGTAAGCATTCCCAGGATTTCTGTGGGGTCTAAGTATGGTTTCTGACACCACATCTCCTTTTAGGGTCTCGCTCTTCTGACACCACATCTCTTTTGGCAGGGCTCTCCAGTGCACACTCGCATTTGCATCCAGTGCGCACTCCAAATGCGTCACCACATGCTTGCAAATACATACCAAATCCTTGCAAATACCCACCAAATCCATGCTACTCTCACGTCAGCAACCCACTCCTTGTAGGGTTTAGGGGTTTCGAGTCCCTCCTTTAAGGGTTTACGGTTTCGCACACACCCACTCCTTTTAGGGTTGAGGGTTTCCCACCCACCCACTCCTTTTAGGGTTTCAGGGTTTCGGGTCATTCCTTTTAGGGTTTAGGGTTTAGCGTTTCGCACACACGACACACCCACTTTTTTGGGGCTTGATGTTTCCCACGCACCCACTCCTTGCAGGGTTTAGGGGTTTCAATCACTCCTTTTGGGGTTTAGGGCTTCTGCGATATGAGCGGGAACCCTACCTTTTCAATAGTGAGATTACTCACGGTAGTCTGTCGGGCTGGGCACTCCAGGGAGTCTCACGGTAGTCTGTGGGGTTGGGCACTCCAGCGAGTCTCACGGTAGTCTGTGGGGTTGGGCACTCCAGGGAGTCTCACGCTAGTCTGTGGGGTTGGGCACTCCAGGGAGTCTCACGCTAGTCTGTGGGGTTGGGCACTGCAGGGAGTCTCACGGTAGTCTGTGGGGGTTGGGGGCCGTAGTCTGTGGGGTTGGGCATTCCAGGGAGTCTCACGCTAGTCTGTGGGGTTGGGCACTCCAGGAGGTAGTCTCAGAGGGCGAGGAGTAATAGCTGACTTGAAAATCGAACAACCCCACACCGAGGGTGGGGAATAAATGATGATAATGATGATGACCAGTGTGGTTGTCTGCACAATACTGATAAAGACGACGGCAACGACGATGCTGGTGTGAGTATGGAGGCAGTTTAGACGTCTTGTTCCACATGCTACGGTGACGACGATCAGATGCACGAGCGATGACGGCGAGTGTTAAGACAGTCAAGATGATAGCTAGTATCCTCATAATAATGCCATCTTACAAGTAGCTGCTACTGGCTTCGAGGCACCTTCTCATCGGTCAAGCCGAAGGCGAAGGGCTGCGCATGTGCCAAGCTGGCAAGGCAAGCCGAGAGGCTCTGCCCGGAGGCCGTCCGCCCCTCCTCGGACATTTGCCAGTGTTGGGGACTTCTGTGGACTCCGAAGGCCGAGGGAAATGGCGCTCCCGGCCTTCATGGTGACATTGATAAAGCAGTCTTTAGGGCTCATGGAGCAGTACTCCTCTATGACATAGACAGCGGCCTGGCAGGAAGGCGGATGAGCCGGTGCTTGAGCTGCATCCTGTTGTCTCGGCATTCAGCGTGTCGGAGACCATGTCCAGCAGGAGGAGGTGCGCACCCCCCTCCACAAGCCCTTGCACCTCGTAAGGATGCACTGGCATCTGCATGCACAGGCCCTCAAGTTTGGGTGATGCCGGCTAGCCTGCAGGCGATAGGACTACACCAATTGGTCCCAGGTGGTGGCCGCGCGGATGCCTCCAGAAATCTGGAAGGCACCCACCGACAAAGGAATCGAACTTCGGCTTCTCACCCACGACCGGGCCTCTGCTACCGCCTGCTTGGACAGACCGGCAGCAGCCCGATTCAGCTCATAGCAAGCGGCCTGCAAAACATGATTGCCACATTTGCATGAAGGGGATGGATGGATGGACGGACGGATATATATATATATATATATATGCATATTATATATATATATATATATGTATACAAATGGATGGATAAATATATATATAAGTTGATCGAGAGATAGGTAGGTCGACAGATGGATAGATGGATAGACAGGTCGATCGACAGACAGACAGCCACACAGGGCAGACAGACAGACAGATAGAGGGAGAGAGAGAGAGGTGTGGAGAGATAAATAGATAAATAAACAAATACGCAGGCAGGCAGGCAGGCAGACAGGCAGACAGACAGACAGACACACACACACAGACAGATAGATGGCCAAATGGCTAGATGGCTAGATTGCCAGATAGCTAGATAGTTAGATAGATAGATACAAAAACAGATAGGTAGATAGGTAAATAGGCAGACAGTACATATTGATAAACAGATAGACAGGGAGAGGTGGAGAAATGTAGAGACGCAGATAGAGAAAGATCGAGACACAGAGATGAATAGACGGACTGGTAGACAGGTAGAATGCATATGTATATATGTATGGATGGAGGGTGTATACATATATGAGTAGGTTACATGTGTATGTATGTTTGCATTAATTACAGTGTTACTTGTGCATTTATAGATCTTGATTGGTATGTGTATAAGCATGTATATATATATATAT